TGTGGTGCTGAGGAATCAAACCCAGGGCCTCATGCATGTAAGGCAAGCGCTCTACCACTGAGCCACCTTCCAGCCCAGGTGGCTACTTTCACACAGAATAACAACATCTAAATTTTTATTTTCATCAGATAAAGATTTGGTAGGGAGCCTCCCCCCATTTATTTATTTATTTACTTATTTATCAGTCATGGGGATTAAACTCAGGGCCTGGGCACTGTCTCTGAGCTTTTTCCATTCAAGGCTAGTACCACTTTGAGCTATAGCACCACTTCTGGTTTTCTGGAGATAAGATTCTCAAGGATTTTCTTGCCCGGGCTGACATCAAAACTTGATCCTCAGATCTCAGCCTCCTGAGTAGCTAAGATTATAGGTGTGAGCCCCAGTGTCCGGCCCCTAGCCACTCTTTAATTAAACAAAGAGGGCTGGGAATGTGGCTTAGTGGTAGAGTGCTTGCCTAGCATGCATGAAGCCCTGGGTTCGATTTCTCAGTACCACATAATCTGAAAAAGCCTGAAGTGACGCTGTGTGAGTGCTAGTCTTGAGCAAAAGGAGCTCAGGGACATTGTCCAGGCTCTGAGTTCAAACCCCAGGACTGTGGCTAAATAAGTAAATATCAACTGGGTGTCTGGGGTTCACTCCTTGTAATCTTCGCTACTCTGGAGGCTGAGATGTTAACATCTTGGTTTGCAGCCAATGCCAGGAAGAAAAATGTGAGTCTCTCATCTTCAGTTAATCACCAAAAACCAGAAGTGGAGGTATGGCTCAAGTAGTATAGTGCCAGCCTTTAGTGAAAAGGGTAAGGGACAGGGCCCTGATCCTGAGTTCACACACCAGTCCTGCTACAACAAAACAAAACGAAACCACACAGAATCCAGAACATACAGCACATACTTGGCCCATTTCTCAAAGTTTGTGTCTTGACACATAAAAACCTAAAGATGAGTCAAGGAGCTGGAGATGCAGATTTTAGTTTTATTACAACCTGTTATAGTAGATAATAGTATAGAGTACATTCATCTAAAAATCATCGTCCCAGACCCATGATTGATTTGATTATCCAGGAAAAGAGGTTCTGGCCTTCCCTACTTAACATGACATCTGTCCCCTTGTGCTTTCATGGAAACAGGTGAGGCCCTCAGCCCATCTTCCCACACCGTGTCTGTGCTGGCGTTCTGTTCACCCCAAAGGCCGGGAAGCTAGATTCTGGATAGTTGGATCTTCTGCTTTAAATCATACCACCTCTTCAGCTAAAAAGACAGTTCAGCTGATCCTTATGCAGCTTAGAAAGGTGAATCTTAGGCTGGATTTAACAGCAGGGGCCTTTTTTTGTCTTTCAGTGACACTAGAAATTACTCTGGTAGACTAAGAAGAAGCTTACTTGAGTTTATATGACCTGAACTCAAGTCCTGGCTTCTGATGGGTGGCTTGAAGAAGAGGGGAAGGGACAGAAAAACAGAAGCTGGACACTGATGGCTCACACCTGGAACCCTAGCTTCTCAGAAAGCTTGATCTGAGGATCATGGTTTGAAGCCAGCCAAGGCAGACAAATCCCAGATTATTATCTCCAATTAACCAGCAAAAAAGCTGGAAATAGAGGTGTGGCTCAAGTGGTACAGCACCAGCCTTAAGAGAAAAAACAACAGTTTAGGGCCTTGAGTTTAGCCCTAATACCAGTACAAACACACACACACACACACACACAAAGAAAAGAGTAACAGCAAAGAAGGAAGGATAAGTAGAAAAGAACAGGGCAATGTGGAAAGAAGGCATAATACTACCAAGAGTCCCAGGCACCACTTTGGGGCTAGGGTCAGGCCTTAGACGAGACGTCACTTGACTTCTACACTGCACAGAGAATAGTCATTAAACATGACCTGGTCATTAAATGTGACCTGGGGCTGGTTATTGAAAAACTAATATTCAGACTGATGATCATGTCAATCTACCATTTGTATGATTTAACACACAGGATCACTAGCAAAACCTCCAGATCTTCTGGATAGAAGACAGGCTGCCAAGGAGTCACTCTTCCTTAAGCCACGGAGAACTTGAACCAGGTGGTATGGTTGTATTCTTCCCCAGGCCTCAGTAGCACAGGGGGGAAGTGAGGCTGTAAAGGGGGAAAAGAAGACAGTTAAACCCTAGCCCTGCTTGCAAGGTGGTATTCTGCTCTGTGGACCAGTGCTAGTGGGCCCAGTGTATTACTGGTTTGCAGTGAGATGAAAAACAAACTATAATGAAAATCTATCCTACCATGCACACTTTGTCCAACTAAGACTCTCCGGGAAGAAACAATGTGTTGATTTATATTCTGGTACATGGTGTGCAAGCTTCTTGTTTTTTTGGGGGGGGGCGGGGTCTGGTTGTGGAGCCTGAACTCTGGGCCTGGGCGCTGTCCCTCAGCTCTTCAGCTCAAGGCTAGCACTCTACCACTTGAGCCACAGCACCACTTCCAGCTTTTTTCTTTTTGCTTATGTGGTGCTGAGGAATCGAACCCAGGGCCTCAAGCATACAAGGCAAGCGCTCTACCATTGAGCCACCTTCCCAGCCCCTAAGCTTCTTGTTTTGTTTTTGTTCCTAGTACTAAAGTTTGAGCTTGGCCATACACACTCAGCCCTTTTTCCCCCTCAAGGTGGATGGTCTCTCTCCAGCCACAGCTCTACTTCTGGCTTTTTGCTAGTCAATTGGAAATGTCTCACCAGCTTTTCTGCCCTAACTGGCTTTGAACCATGACCCTCAGATCTCAGCCTCCTGAACAGCTAGGACTACAAGTGTGCACCACCAGTGCCCTATCAGGCCCTAAGCATCTAATGGTGGGCTGACACTTTGGGGAGCATTAGCTTTAAGTAACAGCTAGAAAAGAAAGCTATTAGGGAGAAAACAAACACAAATAATGGAGGATCTTAGAAGTACTGTTGCTGACAAGGAGAAATTGACTCAGAAGGTGGCAAAGGTACAAGACAAGCTTTTTTTTTTTGTTGGTGGTGGGGCTTGAACTCTGGGTCTGGGCACTGTCCCTCAGCTCTTCAGCGCTCTACCACTTGAGCCACAGCACCACTTCCGGTTTTTTTTTTCTGCTTATGTGGTGCTGAGGAATCGAACCCAGTGCCTCATGCATGCAAGGCAAGCACTCTACCACGGAGCCACCTTCCCAGCCCTCAAACAAGCTTTTTAAAAACTTGTGAAGCCAGGCGCCCGTGGCTCATGCCTGTAATCCTAGCTACTCAGAAGGCTGAGATCTGAGGATCAAGGTTCAGAGCCAGCCCCGGCAGGAAAGTCTGTGAAACTCTCTTATCTCCAATAAGCCACTCATAAAACCAGAAGTGGCGCTGTGGCTCAAGTGGTAGAGCCCTACCTAGACTTGAGCTGAAGAACTGAGGGACAGCACCCAGGCCCAGAGTTCAAGCTCCATTTCCGACAAAAAGAAAAAGAAAAAAGCTCAGGTATAGTGCTCAGGCCCTGAGTTCCAAGCCCAGACTGGCAAAAAAACCCAAAAAACCAAAAAACAAACAAAAACTTGTGAATGCCATATTAGTACTTGGTTTCTTTTTTTTTAAAGCAGGATTTACTGAGAACAATTCATGGATTTCTGGATCCCATAGCGTGGCTTGCATGACTTTGAACGTAACAGCCCTCTGATGGGCCAGCCTTTGTGGCTTTACCTGATTGACTGCATCAGGCCAGCTCTGGGTCTCGAGGCAGAAACCAGAGTGCTTGGGATAGACAGCTCCATTCTTGCCCTTCAGTGTGCCATCCAGGAAGTTGCCTGTGTAAAACTGGACGCCAGGCTGGGTGGTATAGACTTCAAGGACTCGGCCGCTTCCAGGGTGCTGCACCCTAGGGAGAAAGACAAGCCACATGTAAGGCCTCGATTGAAATGCGAGATAAAGGTAGGAAGACCAGTATGATAGTGATTCTTCGTGTGTGTGTGTGTGTGTGTGTGTGTGTGTGTGTGTATGTGTGTGTGTTCTAAGGCCTGAACTCAAGGTCTCTTACTCTTGGCTTGGCCTTTTCTATTTAAGGCTGGCACTATACTGCTTGAGTCACACCTCTACTTCTGGCTTTTTGCTGAGTAACTGCAAATAAGAGATGGAGTTTTCTTCCTGGGCAGTCTTATAACTGTGATCCTCCTGTCTCTACCTCCTAAGTAGCTCGGAGTACAGGGCACCAGTATCATGGATAAGTGGATGGTTTTGAGGATCAGTAGCAACTTCTCACTCTGATCTTGGCTTCTTTGAGGAATTACAAAACAGAGTGACTCCAGCCCATGCAAGGGTAGAGAAGTTAGGTAAGGAGGGAGCAGCCAGGTTGGAGACAGGCAGTTTTAGGGTTTTGGATGGATCAAGATTATTATTATTATTGTTGTTGTTTTTTGGGCAGTCGTGGTGGGGCTTAAACTGTAGGCCTGAGCGCTGTCCCTCAGCTCTTCAGCTCAAGGTGAGCACTCTACCACTTGAGCCACAGTGACACTTGCAGTTTTCTGGTGGTTAACTGGAGATAAGAGTCTCATGGATTTTCCTGCCCGGGCTGGCTTTGAACAGCAACCCTCAGATCTCAGCCTCCTGGGTAGCTAGGATTATAGGCATGAGCCACTGGCGTTGGGCCAAGATTGGTTTATTGAGGGGCTGGAACTAGAGCATGCTAGGTTAAGTACTATATATATCTCTAAGAAACATTACCAGCCATGGGGCTGGAATTCTTTTTCAGAGTTCTCTGCTTGGCCTGGAGAGGCAATCAATCCTGTCTTACGAGACAGAGATGTTTTTCTCTGTTTTCCTCCTAGAGACTTGAGCAAGCTATTTTGTAGGTATTCCCCTTAACAGTCCTACTGTGGATTTCTACTTAATTACTGTGTGCATGTGCATGCATGTGTGCGTACGTGCATGCATGTGTGTGCATCAGTCCTGGGGCGTGAACTCTGAGTCTGGTTCTCTCAAGATTTTTGCTCAAGGCTAGTTTTCTGTTACTTGAGTCAGACCTCTATTTCCAGCTTTTGGTGGTTAGTTGGAGATAGGCATCTCCGTGGATGTGTCTGTATGGGCTGGCTCCAAATGGCGATCCTCGGATCTCAGCTGAGTAGCTAGGATTAGAGGAGTAAGCCAACAGCACCTGACTATTGTTTATCTTTATTTTGTTGTTTTCATTACTGGATTTTCTTTCTTGCTTGCTTTCTTTTTTGTCAGTCATGGGGCTTGAACTGTGGGCTTGGGCGCTGTCCCTGCGCTCTTCAGCTCAAGGACAGCACTCTACTGCTTGAGCCACAGCACCACTTCTGGTTTTCGAGTGGTTTAGTGGAGATATGTGTCTCATGGACTTTCCTGCCCAGGCTGGCTTTGAACCTCAATCCTCAGATCTCAGCCTCCCGAGTAGAGTAGCTAGGATTACAAGCGTGAGCCACCGCGCCCGGCTTCATTACTGGGTTTTCAACTCAGAGTCTAGAGTTTGTTAGTCAGGTGATCTACCACTGAAACACGTCTCCAGCCCTGTTTTGCACTGATGATGATGATTGTTCTGATGATGCATGTGCTAAGCAGGCTCTCTATCTGAGAGCTCTTAAGCCACTCTACCAGGCCCCTTTTGCATTAATAATTTTCAAGATTGAGTCTTGCTTCATGCTTGGGTGGCCTGAATTATAATCCTCCTATGTGTGGCATCATGTCCAGTCATTGATTGAGATGGAGTCTTGCTAATTTTTATACCCAGGCTGACTGCAATCCATGATCTCCTTAATCTCTGACTCCCAAGTAGGTAGGTTACAGGTTTGAACCACTGAGCTTGGTTTGCACTAATTATTTTTGAGTTTCTTTTCCAATCTCCACCTATTTTAGGCTTGTCATTGCTGGGATCACAAGCACATACTAACATTACATACAGTTTTCCTGATGAAGTATTGTGGATTTTTCTTCCTTAGCTAACCTGGAACCACAATCATCCCACTTATATAGTTTAGTGTGACATGAATGTGTTCCTGTGCCCAGCTATGGATTGAGAAGAGGTCTCAAAAACTTTTCTGCACAAGCCAACCCTGAACTGCAACCCTAAGTAGCTAGGGTTATAGCTATGAAGCCATGGGTGTCCACGCCTCACACAGGTGTGAACTGCAACCCTAAGTAGCTAGGGTTATAGCTATGAAGCCATGGGTGTCCACGCCTCACACAGGTGTGCTCCTTCCTGGTTTCTGTGCTTGATAATAGATAAGGAATAGATAAGAGGTTGAGTTTTCTTTCTTTTTGAACTCTGTGTGTGTGTGTGTGTGTGTGTGTGTGTATGTGTGTGTGTGTGAGAGAGAGAGAGAGAGAGAGTGTTACTGGGAATGAACTTAGGGTCTTGCACTTTGCTAGGGCCATCCCCCTATCCCAAGGCTTCCTGGGTCTTATAGACGCAGGTATATCTATATAGGAAATAGTAAAAAACACAGCAAGATGGGCTGGGAATGTGGCTTAGTGGTAGAGTGCTTGTCTAGCATGCATGAAACCCTGGGTTCAATTCCTCAGTACCACATAAACAGAAAAAGCCTGAAGTGGCCCTGTGATTCGAGTGGTAGAATGCTATCTTTGAGCAAAAGAAACTCAGGGACGTGTCTAGGCCATAAGTTCAAGCCCCTGGACTGGCAAAACAAACAAATGAACACACAGTAAGTTGTCAACCAAGGGGTTAAGGAAAGAAGGTCAAAGCTTGAGGAGAAGGCAGGGAGGGGAGGGGAAGCTGAGAGACACAGGTGGATTCTTGAGCTAGAGAAACACAAGGGGCCTTTGGTGCTGAGGCTCTGAGCAAGGTTTGTGAAATTCTCTGTCACTATTAAGAGTGTGAATCATGCCAGGTGCAGGTGGCTCATGCCTGTAATCCTAGTTACTCAGGAGGCTGAGATCTGAGGATTGAGATTCAAAGCCAGCCTAGGCAGGAAAGTCCTCGAGACTTTCATCTCTAATAAACCACTCAGAAAACTGGAAGTGGCACTGTGGCTCAAGTGGTAGAGCGCTGGCCTTGAGCTGAAGAGCTGAGGGACAGTTAAAGCCCCATGACCGACAATAAAATAAAATAAAAAATAAATTGTGAATCATTTTCTCTGCTTTCCTAAAAATCCATTGATTCTACAATTATGTACTGATAACTTTGTTTGTTTTTTGGTCAGTCGTGGAGCCTGAACTCTGGGCCTGGGTGCTGTCCCTCAGCTCTTCAGCTCAAGGCTAGGACTCTACCACTTGAGCCACAGCACCACTTCTGGCTTTTTCTGCTGAGGAATTGAACCCAGGCCTCATGCATGCAAGACAAGCACTCTACCACTGAGCCACCTTCCCAGCCGTACTGATAACTTTACAAAGAGGAAGTAGGACCTGGAAATTTAGTGGAGAGAGAGTGCATGCAAATCTAGGGTGTGAGGGCCACCAAAGAATGGAGCCCTCGGCTTCACAGGGAAATGGGCAGAGTATAAATCACACATTTGAAGTACAAAGGGCTCTGGAAATTCAATCAAGGGAAAGGGGAACAGTTGGGGAAATTAGGCCTTCTGACAAAACGTGCCTTAAAGGACAGGAAGAGATGGGGACAAAGAGGATCCTGAGTAGGGGGCCCAAGGATGAAGGCAGATCGTACAGAGTTCCCCTGTGGTATGGGACCTTTGAAAAGCCATGGGATGAGGTTTTGGTTCCTATCATCTAGAACATGCTAGCATTATGGGTCAGGGGAAGAAGCTGTTAACTAAGAGTTGGTGTCTCTTCTAAAGAGGCGACAAATGAGAAGTTCCCAACCTTGCACAGAAATGCTTCTCCTTAGATCCCTTGAGACAAAAATTGTGGTCAAAACCATTGATGCCGAATTTCTGCAGGTGTTTTCCAAGCTCCACTGGTTTTCTCAGGTCGAATGCAGTTCCTTGCACTGGAGCTACATTTCCTAGTGGGAAGAGTTTGCAGTAAGTAAATAAGTAAATGAATAAATAGGTGGAACATGTACCTTATCATTAAAATAAATAAGTAAAAGCAGAACTAATGTTGCTATTTAAAGCCTTTGGTTTTGCTTTTGCATGTTTCCAAATGCTATGAGGAAACACAAATCTTTGGACAAAAGTGGACAATGCGGGTCAGAGATGCAGCCTTGCTGCTGTGGGAGGTCTGGGGTCCTGAAGTTCATGTAGGGCTCTGGGGCTGCTGGGGGGCAAAACACTTCATGGTCTCAGACATGCTAGACAAGCGATCAACCACTTAGCTATAGTCTAACTCTGCCTTGTCTTATATTATATTTTGTGCCAGTCCTGAGGCTTGAACTTAGGTCTGGCACTGTTCCTAAGTTTCTTTTGCTCAAGGCTAGAGCTCTACCACTTGAGTTGGTGTTTAATTGGAGATAAATGTTTCATGAACTTTATTGCCTGGGCCAGCTTTCAACCATGATCCTGAGATCTTAGCCTTGTGAATAGCTAGGATTACAGGGGTGAGCCACTGGCACCAGGCTATTTTATTTTTTATTTTTTATTGTGAAAATACCGTACAGAGGGGTTACAATTACGCGGGCAAGGTAATGAGTACATTTCTTATCAAGCATTGTTGCCTCCTCCTTTGTTTCCCCTTCCCATCCCTTCCCATCTCCACCCTCCGCCCCCCCTCATTTTTTTATTTTTATTTTATTTTTGTCAGTCATGGAGCCTGAACTCTGAGCCTGGGCGCTGTCCCTAAGCTCTTCAGCTCAAGGCTAGTGCTCAACCACTTGAGCCATAGATCAAAAGCTCCAGCTTTTTCTGCTTATGTGGTGCTGAGTAATCAAACCCAGAGCCTGATGCATGCAAGGCAAGCACTCTATCACTGAGCCACCTTCCCAGCCCCCTGTTGTTTTTATTTAAATCCCTCCATTGTAGCAGGGCACTGTGGTTTCCACTTATAATCTAACTACTAGAGAGGCTGAGATATGAAGATTGAGGATTGAGGTTCAAAGCTAACTGAGCCAGACAAATCCCTAAGACTTTTATCTCCAGTTAATCAGGAAAATGATGGAAGTGCACATATGGCTCAAGTGGTAGAGCACTAGCCTTGAGTACAAGAACATGAGGCCCTGAGATCAAACCCCAGTATTTACACACACACACACACACACACACACACACACACACACACACACACACACACACACACACAGGAGAGGATATAGCTCAGTGGTAGAACTCTTGCCTAATATGCATGAGGTCTTGTGTTTGATCCCCCAAACCTCAAAAAGGACAAAAAGAGGGGCTGGGAAGGTGGCTCAGTGGTAGAGTGCTTGCTTTGCATGCCTGAGGCCATGGCTTTGATTCCTTAGTACCACATAAGCAAAAAGAAAAAACCAGAAGTGGCGCTGTGGCTCAAGTGGTAGAACGCTAGCCTTGAGCTGAAGAGCTGAGGGAAAGCGCCCAGGCCCAGAGTTCAGGCCCCACGACCAGACCCCCCCCCCAAAAAAAAAAAGGACAAAAAGAAAAAGACTACTTCTATTGGGTTTTGCTTTGAGATTCAATCTGAGGGACTGTCTAATATAACATTCAGATGGAATTAATAAGCTCACATATATGCTGTTTTCTTAGAACATATCATAGTTTATAATATGCTTTCTGTATTTATAACTTCCAGTTGTTGACTTAAAAAAATCTTTTGCTGGGGCTGGGAAGGTAGCTCAGTGGTAGAGCGCTTGCCTTGCATGCATGAGGCCCTGGGTTCGATTCCCCAGCACCACATAAGCAAAAAAAAAAAAATCTTTTGCTGTGAGGACTTTTACCTACATGTGTGCTGCCAATAACACAGACAGGTTGTACTTTTAGTGGTTACGTATTCTATGAGTCAAATCAGCGTGATACATGTAATCATTTTTGTTAAAATCTGTTCTCAGCTCCTTACTTCCCTTTGTACCTTCCTCTAAATGAAAGTATTCCTGTAAAGTACTTTGCTTTCCAGTAGATGGTGCTAGAGATACAAAAGAAAGAAGTTAACTTGACATCCTCAACTTAGGTTGAGTCAGTCCTCTAGACCCCCCCAATAAATTCAGGGAGAATTGCTAGTTCTTGCTAGTTCAACATTTTGCACACTCTCTCTCTCTATCTATATATATGTATATATACAAACACATATATATTATATGCATATATATCTATATATACATCTAGCTACACACAGACACACACACACACACACACACACACACACACACACACACACACACACAAAGAACAAACTCGTCTGCGCAGATTAACCAAAAGTTAGAAGTACTGCATGCTCATTTTCCAAGTTCATTTTCATTTTGTGACAGGATGATGTGACTGCCCAAGAGCAGTGTAAGCTTACTTATTAACACTTCCATTAAGGCATGACTATAAGTAGAAGATTATGAGGAACAAAGAAAGCCACAGGATTTCATGAAGGAAGGACTCAGGGTACATTGCCCATCTGTTTCACTCATGTTGAGTCCAGATGTCCAGAATACATTTCACAAAACAGGTTAGAGACTGGCAGGACTCCAAAACTGGCAACATGTCCTGACTTTTGGAGCCAGGAACCTAGTGGCTCATACCTATAATCCTAGCTACTCAGGAGGCTGAGATCTGAGGATGGTGATTCAAAGGTAGTCTGAGCAGGAAAGTCCATGAGACTCATCTCCAATTAGCCACCAAGAAGCCAAAAAGTAGAGCTGTGACTCAATTGGTAGAATGCTAGCCTTGAGGACAAAAGCTCAGGGACAGCATCCAGGCTCTGAGTTCAAGTCCTAGGACCAGCACCAATACATACATACATAAATAAATAAACAAGAAAATCGGAGCCAGGTGCTGGTGGCTTATGCCTATAAGCCTAACTGCTCAAGAGGCTAAGAGGCTGAGGTCTGAGGATCACAGTTCAAAGCCAGCCTAGTCAGCAAAGTGTGTGAGACTCTTTTTTTTGGGGGGGGGAGTTGAATTCAGGTCCTGGTGCTGTCCCTGAGCCACAGTACCACTTCTGATTTTCTGGTGGCTAATTGGAGATGAGTCTCTCAACTTTCCTGCCTGAGCTAGCTTCAAACCATGATCCTCAAATCTCTGCCTCCTGAATAGTTAGGATTACAGGTATGAGCCACCAGCCCTCAGCTTCTGTGAGACTCAGTTTCTAATACATCACCAAAAAAACTAGAAGTAGAGTTGTGGTTCAAGTGGTAAAGTGCTAGCCTTGAGTAAAAAAGCAAGAGACAGTGCCTAGACCTAGAGTTCAAGAAGCCTCAGTACTAGTGCACACATGAGCGTGAGTGCACGTGCACGTGCACACACACATAAATAAAGGGAAAAGAAATAGGGTAATTCTAAAATGAGATTTTTGCTAAATGAGAAAAGAGATGAGCTTCCAATCTATCTCTTTTAGCTCTATTCTCTCATGTGCTTGATGATCAGGTGTATTGGAAAATGTGAACTTGTTCCTTAGATTCACCACGTGTTCAGGCTCTCATGATTAGACTGGCCTTACTGGGTCCCTTGCCCCACCACACTCTAGCACAGTGCAAATAATCATTTAAGAATTTTCTCTTACCTCCATTGTGAGAACTAACCCATCATACTTAGAACAGTTCCTAAATCCTTTATCACACTGTGCATAATTATAGAACTATCTCAAGCTCTGTCTATAAGGAATATGACTATCTCAATACAGGCATTGTGTTCTATTAATATTTGTGCCCTCTGGGCATGAAGTAGAGGTATAAAACACAGGCAACTATGAATATGGCAGCAGCATCTAGAAAGGTTCATTGGAACTATTTCATCCAGACCTCTGACTTGGCTGATAATAGAGAGGTTAAGCTCCAGGCAGAGAAAGGGACTTACCAGAGGTGAGGATTGCTGGTCTCCATGACTGCACAGAGACACTGTCCATGAACAGAGTGTCTGACTTGCTGCCCAGCCCCTTCCACCCCCCAAGTCCCCAAGGGCTCGTGATTTTTCTAAGAACTTGGAAAATGAATGTGCAGTTCTTCTAACTTTGGTTAATCTGCACAGATGAGTTTGTGCTTTGTGCTAAGAATAGAAGAGAGATGTCAAAATAGCTCTGTGAGTGAGCAGAGCTGAGCAAACGTGAGGCGGAAATGGAAAGGAGGCCTTCAAAGAGGATGCTACAGCATCAGACTCTAGCTTGGGGGCAACTAGAGAGCTGCGTGTGCTGGCTGAGTTGCTGTTTTCTAAAGAAGACTTTAAATTTCATATTTTATTTTGGATGGTTTTGAAGCTTGAACTCCAGGCTTGGGCATGGATAAGTCTCACAGACTTTCCTGCCTGGGCTAGCTTCGAACCATGATCTTCTGATCTCAGCCTCCTGAGTAGCTGGGATTACAGATGTGAGGCACCAGTGCCTGGCTTGAAGAGGATTGATCTTCCTACAGCTGGGTATGTCTGTGTTGAGATCTCCACAGCAAAGCCTGGTAGATGGTGATCTTGGGCCCAAAGATGTGGGGGGATATGGAGGCAGAGGAATGGTTTAAGGCAGTATGTCTGCTTCCTCATTCTAGGGAAAAACTGGCTTCAGGCAAGCATCAAGGACCAACATGATTTTTTGTTTTTTGGGTTTTTTTGGCATGGTTGTAGGAGACTGGAAGCTGCTCCTGGGGGTTGGGTTTAGTCAGGCATGTGTTTTGGCTAGGAGAACATAAGAGAGGGGAGAAGAACAAGAACGTTGAGCATATGCAAAGGGTTGATAATAATGGCTTTTTTTTTTTTTTTTTTGCTGATCCTGGGGCTTGAACTCTGGGCCTGGATGTTGTCCCTGAGTTAGTTCCTTTTGGTGAAGGTTAACACTCTAACACAGTTGACTTCCCACTTTTTCTGTGATTAATTAGATAAGGGTCTCATGGACTTTCCTGCCTGGGCTGGTTTCCAACTTTGAACTCAGATCTCAGCCTCTTGAGTAGCTAGAATTACAGGCATAAGC